GCCGCTTTTGCACAAGCCTGAAAAAGGTCTTCAGGCTGAAACCTTCAATTTCAATAGGGAGACCCCCTTGGATTGTCGAACATGCCTTCCTCCAGTCGACCCATTGGTCCCATTGGTCTCGACCCGAGGGCCTCGCGGAGAGATTTAACCCCTGAATTCCACCCCAGCCCAGTGTGTAAATGTGTCCAGTCCCGAGTTGTGTATGTTAATCCCGGTCTCCAACTACCTCCGAAGATGGGACTGGGGTGGGTGCCAGGGGGGTGTAACCTCCTTATTCACAGGCACCCCCCCATATTGTAAAGAGGTTTTGCAATCCAAATGAGGGGGGTTCTCAATCACGATTCGACATTCCCTAGGGATCCGCATAGCTTCTCACAAGGTACCTGAACCCTCCAAATCTACATATATTAAAGGGTCTCCAATCACCTTCTCAGAGGGTGTCCATAGGATTCATGTAAAGGTGGATTGCACAATCTTGGCAGCCTGGCAGCCACATCTTCAATAAAAGACAGAAAGGGAAAACCAATAATAAGTACTAAATAGTTATAGCTGAGGACTGAAAGTTAGAATGCCGTGTGGTTTTCAAAAACTTTGATGACATGAGATAGAATGCCGTATTGAACGAGTTGTTTAAAGAAAAACATGAGAAAGACGTGCCTTTTTTTGCCTGCTATTTGTGATGTATTGTACACTTAGAATGCTGGCCGATCCTAGGCGGTGCCCATTAACCTGTAACATTAAAAACCACTGACAAAAAACACGGCAAATAACAGTTGGAATGCCTCCTACAGGTCTTGAAAAAGGTTGGTTGGATGAATGGGTGGATGGTCATGGATAGATGAAGATGGATGGAAATGGGGTGGGTGAGTGGGTGGCTGGCTGGCTGGCTGGCTGGATGGATGGATGGAAGTGGGTTTGTGGGTAGGTGGATGGATGGTTTGTAAACTGTGCATACATATAGCATCTGGTGCTCTCAACACTTGCATCCTTGCATCAATCCTTTGACAAGTTGTGGTAATGGCGTTATCCTATTTGCATGTTCCATGTGCATTGCTTTGACAATTCTGAGCCATTTGCAAGCTGGCGATGAACTCACATCAACACATACAGTATAAGAAATAATAAAAGGCATTCTATCTGTTTGATCTGTCGTAAGGGTCGTTCTCTTTTGATCTTTTTGTGGGCAAGCGATGAACTCATATCGACACATATAGAAAGTCATAAAAGGCATTCTATCTGTTTGATCTGTCGTAAGGGTCGTTCTCTTTTCTTTTTGTGGGTTTTACAGGTGCAACGGCATGCTATCTGGGTCATGATTTCATGATTGCGGCACCTTACCTGCGGTTGGCTGAAATCATCGAAAGTCGGCATTGGTATTTCCCAAACCGTCATTCTAACTTTCGGTCCTCGGCTATATATAGAAGGTAAAGAGAGAAACATGAAACAAACTATACACAACACTAAGGTAAATAACAGAGTATACATCTTTTCACCTGTGGGTCGAAAGGTTCAGGTTTCTGCGAGAAGGTTTCCTGAACCAGATGGCTGGCTGTTTCACCCAGAGAGGTCAAGTCTTTGGCATTGGTTCTTTGTTACTTGGCGTCCCCATGCAGGTCTTGGAATGCTGGTCGGCTTACGAATTCGCAGGGATGGTAGCGTCCTGGTCAGTGTGGAAAATCGCTAGTGTGAGTTATCATAATTGCCCTATCCAGGTCTAATCTGACCGAGTAAAACTATGATCCTACCCTACCAGATGTTCGCAGTGTTTTGTATGCCAGACACTCCATGTATGGAAGAGTTGCAGACATTTACCCCATGTATGAGTCTAATGTAACTATTCCATACATGGAGTTTCTGGGTATGAGCAACTCCAGTCAAACGAGGTCTTTGACCAACAGGGTCTTGGAAGGCCTAAGGTTTCATCTTTCTGTCGACGACCGCTCGAGGAGATGTGTGCTCATCCAGCGCCGCGCACTTTTTGTGCCAGCTATGCGCGCCTTTACGTAACTTGGATGCCAAGGAGTTCTTCCGCGTGAGCTCCCCCAATTCATCTCCCATGGTACCCACAATACCCTACAGGTCAGTTCGAGCTCATTTTACTGAAGAGTATGTTTTGATCAAAGACTAAGACTATTAATATCTCTCCCTAAGGATCAAGGACCCTCAAAGGTGAAGGTTTGGTTCGGGTCCAAGGGCCCCCCTGCGTTCTGCAGGGTCAAAACCCTCCAGTTCGGAGGGTCCAATGATCCTACATTGACCCCTAAAACCACCCCAATTGATCGGTAAATATGCCAGTCCCATGTGTCGTGTCTGGGTATTATTACTATCTCTTACTGAATGAGGAATCGGACGGTGGGTTTTACTGGGTCAGACCGGACCGAAGAAAAGGGGGGCGCCGTACTTCGGTCTTCGTCTTCGGTGTGGGGCGCCGTAGCGCCGTAGCTTCAGATCCCGTGAACTTCCGTGAACTTCCGTCCTCCGCGGCGTCTTGGGCCGGAACCGGCGCTCTGGAGCTGGGGGAAGGAGGGTCTTCCGTGTTGGGCGGAGACCGTGGCGGACCGTCCGGATACGTCGCGATGCCCTGAAGCGTGAACGACTCGTAGCGTCGGTCCTTGTTCCTGGTTAGCAATGCCAGGAGCTACGAACTCGTAGCGATTCAGGTGTGACGTGAACTCGTAGCTGCATAGCCTTCTTGCCAGGAGCCCTATACTCGTTTTGAGGTGATGAGTTCGTTGACCTGGTGGAGTTCCTCGAACCCGTCGTACGGTTGTACCTCATGTACCTCGTCGGGTCATGTCCCAGGCTTCGCGGCTTCGCTAGGCCTCCAAGTACCTCCTGTATGGAAGAGTTACATGTCCTGCACTTGTATGACCTGAGTATACAGTATATATACCTTAATGACCTATAATGCAAGTAGCTATTCCGGCTATTCCATCATAAATAGATGGATGTTCTTGATACTCTGAATTTGGTCACACCTCGCAGGTGGAATGCCTGAACAACTTGCCAAAGGACATGCTGAGTGATGTGCTGGACGAAAGCACACTGGCTGCTGGGATGCATATTCAGAACTCACTTTCATGGATGGCCTTTTAGCTATTGGCTAGCCGCTCCATTCGCACTCGTTTTTGGTAGTAGTGGATGGCCCTGTTAACTCGATATATATTGTTTGTTTTGACTAATATGAATATCAGAGCCAAGGTGATACACCACCCAAGTGTAGAACCACTATATTCCTATGGTACCTGATATCTGGCACTGACCCCTCTACCATTAGAACCGGTCGGACATGGCCAGTCCCTCAAAACTGAGTGGACGGCACCTGGACATTGCAGCGCCTCTCAGCAGTTCCCAGCAGTTAGGGGTCGAACACAACACCCCCCGGACACTTCCCCTACACCGACCCGTCGTACCGAAGGTATGGTTCGGTATGATTGGACCCGAACCTCTGACCGTTCGACGTTTTGGGTTGTGCGCTCCGACGAGCGAACTGTGCGAAGGAGAGCCCTGGAAGTCGGGTGAAGTCTGAAGACCGAGTCCTATGCTTGTTAGACGCCCCTTAATGGCTTTTCGGTCCTGGTATGCTGTTGATCCGTTCTTCTCCGGCCCATTCCACCCCCGCCCCGGTGAAACCCACCTCACCGCGTGCCGGACCTCGCGTGACGCGAGGACACCACGGCGCTGGTGGACCGCGCCAACGCGGTGATGGCGGCGATCTACGACGTGGGCCGCGGCAGCAGCTCCGCGTTGGACTTGAGCCATTTGGGCCTGCCCTGATGCGAGGCGCGTGGGGTGGGACTGGTGGGAAGGGAGAGGTGAAGTGCGAGGTGAAGTGGCACGACGTGAGAGAGGGTTCGGAGTTGACACCGACGTCCTTTTAGGTTCGGTACGACAACGGAAGTCTGGCACCTGCAGAGCGTCCGATCGCTCCGTTCGTTCGTCGCGATGCCCTTGTTAGTGACGTTCTTTCGTCGCGAATTCCTTGCTCCGTTCCTGGTTTCGATGTCGAACGCATCACCGTACCTGAGAAGGTACGCCTCACTGGATCCCTCGAGGGTGCGGATCCCTGCGAGGCAGGACCGGTTCGGACCAGGTGGGAAGGCGTGCATGCGGTAAGACAAGGAGGGCCCTGAAAGACGTATACGACGTGGTTGGGAGGACCGGTGTGGGAGCGCTTAGAGCAGTTTGGAGACGGCGAAATGGATGGCGTTTCGGCCATGGACAGCTGGAGCGCCTTTTCCATTGGGGCGGGTATCGACATGTTCTTGGCGCGAAACTATAGTGAGTCACTCCGTTGACATCGAATTGATGCAGAAGCAAGAAATTCATGAAGCACATCCATGTCTAGACCTTCATTGGGATAAATTTGTTTGAGAAGGGAGCTTGAGCTGCAGTCCAGTGCTGGACAAGTTCTCCATAGTTCTCCCATCCACCTCTCAGATAGAAAAAACTTGACCCGACTTCGTCCGTACCCTAAACAACAGGTACTTGTAAGGTACTTTGAGGCTCCAGGTATACCTGGTGGACTTGATTGTTCAATCAGTTCCCTTTTTGTCCTTCAATGAAGAGGATCTGTAAATGACCTGCCTTTTCTGGGTGGTGGTTTCAGATACTTCTTTTATGTATGTTGAACAACGACTTGGGATGAAATCGTTTGAAATGTGAGGACGCAGACAGAACTCATGCTGTCGAGGTCGGCCAATCCCTACGCAGAGAAATCCCTACGCTGTGCCTCAGCACTCCATTGATGTTTTTTTCATGAGGTCATCGCTAGCCGATCCTCGGCAATGATGAGTGAATCAGTCTCATAATGTCTCATATGTGAGGACTTTGGGGGTGGATGGGGGCATAGGACATTGACCCGGAATTCGTTCCTCAGAAAATGGGGCCCCAGTCGTACCTGATATTTTAGTGTCACGTCCCATTTTCTGAGGTACGAACTGGAGGGTCTAGGTCTAGGTACATAAGAGCAATCCTACCAGATCACCTCCCATCTCTTGCATGCTGATTCTCACAGGTCGCCTCGCTTGCGCTGTGAAATGGAGACTCGAAGAGGAACTATTGAGGAAACTTGCGGTGTGAGAGACTCATGATCCTATAGAACGCGTAGGAAGAAAGTGCGAAGACTGGGAGGAAGCAAGGAAAATCTGGATCCCTAGGGTAATGTAGGCAAATATTACATACACATGCCCTAGGTATCCAAGTACCTTCTCAGCAGGTGATTGGAGACACCGCTATGTAGGTTTGGAGGGTCCAAGTACCCTCTGAGAAGGTACTTGGATCCCTATAGGGATGTGTTCTTATCTAGGGCATTTGCAACAAACTCGTTGAGGCTACATGTGTGAACATGTTCAACAGAGGCCGAATCGAAGATTCGGCTGTATCCATGCTGCTCTACCCAGCTGAAGTCATGAGACTCAACGGTGGAAGTCCTGACTTTGTGTAGCAGATTCATTGCTGCATGTTTATACATCCCAAACACTCCATACATGTATGGTATTCATGGTCCTACATGGGGAGCTCACGCCTGGCAGTAAAAGTCGATGAGAGGGCCCGGGCCAGGTCGTAGAAACCAAATGGTAGGTCGGGACATACCTCTTGGCGTCAACGATGCATGGACCTGTCTATGATCTCGGATCTTCACACAGCAGGCTCCTCAGCAGGGCCGCCTTTGGCCACAGTTTTGGCTCCTCAGCAGGGCCGCCGGGAGGCCCTGGTGAGGGGCGTTGAAACCAACGGAGAGGCCGGCCAAAGGCGGAGGCATTGGAAGCTTCAGTTGAGGTGAGGTCTCAGGTCACCTACGAAGACATCGTTGTATGTGGTAATTCTTCTATGCCACAACGATCGGATCACCTCAAGTATGGCATAGGTCGACCATTGACCCCTGTAATGGTTATTGACAGTCGCTCACATGTCCAAGTTGATTGATGAATTAAGCTACTAGTAGCAAAGGGCATCGCTACGAACGGAGCAAGAATGCTACTAGGGGCTCCTGGCCTTACTACTAGGAGCAAGAACGCTACTATAGGAACAAGAAGCTACTATAATTAGAAGACAGGAAAGGGAATCAGCAGAACCAATCGCCTATCCTCAAAGCGATCCTTACAGGCTTACAGGCCCTTCCCATCTGGCCTGTTGGGGAGACCCCGAGACGAAACCTCGGCCAGATCGGATCAGAGACGAGACCGTCTTCTAGTACACTCACTGACAAACCCAGACACTCCATGTATATTGACCCCTAAAACCACCCCAATGTAGGTAAATATGCCATACATGGAGTGTCTGGGAAATATTGATCCGACTTCAAGTACCATAGGACATGACCCTATTGTGAAGTACGGGGTCCGGGTCGACCTCCAGGTGTTCGTACGGATGTTCGCACGGACCATGTCGACGGTGCAACCGCACGTGTTCGAGCAACAGACCGGTCGCTGGCTCGGAAATTGAACTCGCGGATGGGGTCGCCTTTGACACTATCCCAGACACTCCATATATGCCGATCAGGCCAGGGGTGGTGCCAGGGGGGTCAATGGGGCGGCATATATGGCAGTCCCATGGAGTGTTTGGGTATTGTTTGTACCAGGGCCAAAAAGTAGACCGACTTGACCGACTTCAAAACCGCCTCCCTCCTCCTGGCTGCGGAGCAGTCGCAGCGTTTTTAGCGAAGTTCGACGAAGATTCGCTCGCTTCCCAAAAGGGACTGAGAATGGAATGGTGGAAAGATGTTCCTATCTAAGGAAGCACATCCCTAGGGATCCACATACCATGTGGTACAAATATGTACAGATGACTACCCATGGTGCAGTCTTCATGGGATACTGCTTTTGTACCATTCTTCCTTTCTTTATCCCATGTCTTCCTATCGTCCCTAGGGATCTGTGGATACCTTCGGAAGGTGTTGGGAACCTCCTCGCACCGATCAATCAATCAGAGTGTCCTTGCTCAATCACTTTCTCAGAGGGTCTTTGGATCGACTGTGCTATGGATCGACTGGACAGACACAAGGCCCCGCATTTGCCTTTCAGATCGGCATCCTTTAGTGCCTGTCATCATTGTGACGTCCAACAATGACAGACGGACAGGTGGTTGGGCACGAAAGAACACCCAGGATGTTGAGTGTTTGTTTGGGCATATGGTTTACTTGGCCTGTTGTTCAGCTCCTGTGTTTTGCTGGATTGACCAGGTAGAGGTAGCAGATCTCCAGTTGTGTTTGTTGGTGAGAAAAGTTGAAAGCAACCACCCTAAAGCAAACCATCGATGACCATAGTCCCCATTTGCACCATGTCCTTCTACCTTGAAGCATTGTATGTTGAAAAAAGAAGAAAACACACATCTTTGCAAACACATGCAAATCGCTAGACTCCCAGCATGTCGGGCAGTACATCACTCATTCACATGCCCATAAGATCCAGGTAACTCCTGAGTACGTACTTCCAGACAAAGGTCTTTGTAGCTTAAGGACATCCTTAGGATGGTCCTGGACCCTTACAGGGATGGTTTCCAACGATCTTCCATTGGACTATATTGGACTGTTCTTCTCTGGGGACGCCATAGAATTTCACGCGGATGGGTCGTTGGAGCGTTTCAGACAGTTCGGGTCAATTCGAAGCCGGAACGCGGAAGAAGTTCCACAGTCCACCAAGTCCGACGAGCGCGAACCTTGCAGTTGCTTAGTGGATCTCTGGCCTCGGCATGTGAGACCGACCCAGCTTCCGAAGGAGCGAGGTCCGTCGTGTCACTCACCCGGTGGGGACGGAGCAAGTGGCGAAGAACAGGTGGAAAACATGGCGTCTTCGGAGTTCCAAGTTGGTGAGATGAACATGCGTAGATGAGACGTCCACCGGCATCCACCGGCATCCACTACACCACGACATGAAACTCTTGGAATTCAACTGTTAAAACCCTTGTGCGTCATCTGCCGCCCCAGGGAGGCAGGATGAGAACATTCACTTACCGATTTTTCGGTCGGGTGACTGGGAGAAGGGTTTCACTGGGAGAAGGGCTGATGTTTTACATGCCAGCGGGGTGCGCGGCAAAGTAGAAAAGGAGTTGAGACTTGACATCCTTATGGCTTTCCAAAGTGCCAATTAACGTTCATTTAAAGTCTACAAGCATGGCTGGATGGCCAGGTACTGTAGTGTACCAGTAATGTTGACCTCTGATTAATAAATGTACTGTAACGTATTGAAATTCTTAGGAAACCCTAAATAAAGGTAATCCCAGGTTCCAAGAAAGAATTAATAAAAGGAAATGTTCCCTTACTAAAACAAATATTAAGTTAAATAGGTGAATTAGTCTTCAAATTAGACATGAATTGGAATTGGATTAGAATTAAATAAACAGTGCTTTATTTCGGGTCCCTTTATTGATCAGGGCGCAGATCGGCTAACTTTATTCCGGGTCCCTTTATTAATCATAGGTCAACATTACGGTCCCTTCATGTTATTTCTGGATGCCTGGGTTGGTGGGTTTGTCTTGAGGGTACAACTGTATTGCACAGTTGTGATGAGGCAACCGTTCTTTTCCATTGACCGGTTGATCAGGCCTTTCAGGGCTCCACGACCGGTTCATCGGTTCCTTTTCGGTCCACAGCACCTTTTGGCAGAAAGCGAGTCGATGCGAAGTGGATCCGTGCGAAGTGGAGGAACAGCGAAGTACGTTCGTAAAGGAACAGCGGAACGGAACAGGTGAGTCAGAACTGAGGGAAGATCCCCTTCCAGTTTGGAACGTGAGTCAGAACTGTTCTCATTTTAGCCAGGACCGCACCACTGTGCCCC